AGCATTAGATATTCCTATTACGGTTGTCCAAAAATAATAATACATAATAGACAAAAACTAGTATCAAAATTTCAACTTCTGTCCTCATCATATTCATGTCATATCCATATCAATTGTGTGATATGATTCATATTTTGCTCATATTACTCCGACTCATGTCACACTTTTATCAACTGAAAATACAAATCATATTACACAACGTTAAATTTAAAAGGAGGGAGATTGTCTGCCGTCCTGTTACCCTGCCCTTTATATCCCATTTTATTTATATGATCACGATTAAACGATATCAATATTTTATATTAAATTTTTAATAAAAATAATAAGATAAAAAATAATATAAATATAAACTATTAACGTGATTTAACCGTGATTGAAAAATAGAAAGAAATTAAAAGGACACGATAAGCAGACAATCTGCCTCTAATTTAAAAAGCTCAAACTCAAAGATTATGTCACCTTTTTACCACAAAACGCAAATCGTAGATAAATAGATAGAAACAAAACAAACAAAAGCAGCGTGGAAATTACGACACGAAACGAAAATCGTTCGTCACGAAGCATTGTGGCAATCCCGTAATTTGGTCAGATCACATGGGCAATTTCTGTAACCTCCACGATATTTCCCTCAGCAGTGACGTGTGTTTCATGCGGAGCCGAAATCTTCTCTCTCTCAATCTCTCTCCCCTCTGTCTCCCCCATACAAACAAACACAACAAACTACAATCTCCACCTTCCATTTGTACACGTCACCGATCCGCGTCTTCGTGATCGAACGGCCCACTTATTTTTCGATACTGGTAGGTTCAGCCCCACGAACCCTAGCCACGGAGACCGAATACTAACGAGCCCAATCTAGAGGTTTATCCCGAGTCACCCACCGCCCAATCCGAATAGGAGAGAGAAAGTAGAGAGAGAGAGAGAGAGGTAGAGAGTGGAATTTCATTTTTGGGCCTTTTTCCTGTTGTTTTTGTTCCTGAAGCATCTCCTACTTGCAGAAGAAGAGTCCGTACATAAATTAGGGTTTTAAGGCGGTTCAGAGAGGGAGAAAACGATTAGAATTCGTGTCGTTTTGATCTTCGAATCTATGATTTGGGGATAAATCTAGGGTTACTGTTTTGTTCTTCCTGGGGATTGAAAAATCGTACCTCCGTTGATTTTGCACAAAATATATATATAAGAAAAGAAAAGTTAGGGGTAAAATTCGTGTATTTGTTCTTTGTATGAGATAAATTAGGGTTTCGAATTGATGGACGAGATCTGGGAGCGAGCTGTTGAGACAGCGTTAGAGGGTCAGACGGACCACGCCGCGGCTCGAGCCCTAACCCTAGACGGCGCCGTTAAGTGCGTCCAGGGTCGCCTGCCCCCTCCGAGCCTTCTAGAGAAGTTCCAGAACCTTCAGCACCTCTCGATCGCAAACGTCGGTGTTTCATCCCTGGAGCAGTTCCCGAGGCTTCAAAATCTCCAGAAGCTCATCCTCTCCGATAACAGAATCGCCGGAGGCCTTGAATTCCTCGTTGAAGCCGGACTCGACTCGCTGAGGGACCTCGACCTCTCGAACAATCGGATTCAGCAGGTTGAAGATCTTGCGCCGCTCGCTCAGCTGAGGCTTGTCTCGCTTGATCTGTATGAGTGTCCGGTCACGCACGTCAAGGATTATCGATCTAGGGTTTTTGGATTGATAAAATCGTTGAAGTATTTGGATAAGATGGACGCGGATGAGAACGAGAGGCCGGAATCTGACGACGAGGAGGAGGAGGAAGAGGACGAGGAGGATGATCCTGGGAGTGGTGAAATCGACGGTGAGGAGCGGCCGTTTGAAATGACCAATGGGCATAGTGAGGCGGTTGAGGGAGTTGTGGATGTTGGTGAGGATGAAGAGAGTGATGCGGATGAGGAGGAGACGGTGACTGCAGGCAGAGTGAACGGAACAAATCACCCGGCCCAGAACGGGTTTCGACTTGCTGCGGCTGGTGAAGATGGCGATGAGGATGAGGAGGAGCCCGATGAGGATGATGAGAATGATTCTGGTGAGGAAATCGATGAGGATGGCGAGGATGACGATGTGGTGGAAGTTCATGAGATTGAGGATAGTGATGATGAGGAAGATGGGGTTGAGTATGATGAGGATGACGACGATGACGACGATGATGAAGATGACGAGGAAGAGGAGGTGGACAATGATGAAGGGGATTTGGCAGAGCCGGAGAGTACAGGGCGGTTGACGAGCACGGAGGGAGAGATTGATGGGCATGAACAAGGGGAGGATGATGATGCAGATGAAGATGATAACGGAGAGACCGGGGAGGAAGAGCAGTTAGTAGAGGAAGGTGGAGAGTTTGAGGAGGAGGATGGTGATGAAGAGGTGAGAAATCCCTTCAAATAACATTGTTAAATTCTAAATCTTGGTGGTCTGCTTTTATATTTACAATTGGCTATAATTTTATTTGCTTATTGTTTAACCGTTTACGGCTGATGTTCTTTTAGATCACAGGAGAGGAGGAAAATGGCTGATGTTCTAATTATGATATGAGCATCTTGTGCATATGGGTTGAAATTGATTTTCTGCATACATCTGTGTGTTTTTCGATTGGTATTGTCGTAACTAGTTTTCTTGTAGGTTTACGAAGATGCTTCTTTTTGAGTGTCTGCTCCAGTTGTATGAGAGAATGTTTGTGTTATTGTGTGCTTTTGTGTGGTGACATGTGGTACATAGCATGCTGGGAATGTTTCAAACCTATATTTTAGGCCGTTTTGCCTTACTCGTAGGTAACTGTATTTATTTCAGAGTTACGACAACTTTTGTGTAGTAATAAAATTGGAAAACATCTGTTAAAGTGTCTTAGAGGATTAAATGGTAGAATATGCCTTTTAAGTCTCGCACTTTTATTTTGTGTTATTGCTATAATATTTTATTTCTTTGGTTATAAAAACATTATTTTGTACCTTTTCGAATGTGTTGTGTTATGCCGGGACTGATGGACTGCGTGTTTTAATGTGTAATTTCTTTGTTTTGAATTTTCCAACTGATTTCATGATTTTATATCTTGTGGACACTAAATTTTGAAGGCCTTTTTCAGGTTTATTTCTGTTGTTTTATTTGAATTTTTGTGAAGTTTATTTATTGACTGCACTTCAATCATGGCTTTGAAGTTGGCAAATAAGTCATTAATAAGGTCTAATATTCTTTTGTTATTGCTGGTGTGCCAGACCTATATCTGTTGATTTGGCTGTCAATTTTCCTCCTATGTCAGGTTACATGAATTTAAGTATTGTTTATAAGAGTAGTTATGTTTCTGCTCCTTCGGTCATAAGTCTAATATTTGGTGTGTGGTTCTTATCAGTCCTGCCTGCGAATTTGTAAGAAAAGTTGTGATTAGTGCTGTTATTTGATTTAGTTTCAGATTTGATTCTGTTAGAAGTTTGATGTTGTAGATCCATGGGTATTTGGCCGTCTTTTGCTTTGCATCTTAATTCATCAACTTACAGAAATGTGATTGGATCGCAGGAAGAGGACTATGGTGCGGGTTACTTGGTTCAACCAGTAGCACAAGCTGAGGAAGAAGATGCTGGCGGCAGTGACATGGACCCTGGAAACGATGAAGGAGATGGTGTAGAGGAAGAAGTGGAAGATGAAGAAGATGACAAAGTTCAGGTGCTACCCCCCTCCTCATCATCACAACCTAAGCGCAAGAGAGGCGGAGATGCGGATTCAGATGACAATGGAGAGGACGACGAGGAAGATGACGATGTGGTTGAGTACAGCAAGTCTTCGAAGAAGCATCGTTGACAGAGAGTCGGTAATCAATCTGGTGACGGTATTTAATGCCTTTGTTGATGGGTCTTTTGTTGTCTTAGTTTGGAAAAACAGAGAAAACCTCATAGAGAGCTTAGATTTAGATTTGGTTGGTTGGTAGTAGAAGACATGGATTTTCCTGAGATGTTGGACAAACAACACACATAAAATGTTAAGGATGTTTAAAAAGTCGTTGGTGAATCACATAGCCGTTGCTGGTTGTTTTTCAAACGACAGTTTATGCGCGGTTTTTGCTTGGGTTGGAAGGAGGGAAAGAGCAATTGGAGTTGTTGGAGGGAAAAGAAAAAGACTTGAAAAACTGTTGGTTTTTGGATGTGTGTTTGTTTGTCCGACAAAAAGGGGGGGCAATGTAAACACTCTTTGTAGATAGTCCTTTTATTTAATCTTCTTTATATTATGTAGCAGGTGACGTGGAATTATGATTTATGTGAATATTTACCCAGGTGGCAATGTTTGTGTGGTGGGAATTTGAGACCTAATGTGTTGTAGGTGTCGACATCTGGTGCAAGAGTGCAGCAAAATATGGTGCACTTGGTTGTATGGGGTATTTTTCACCAGGTGGTAGTGAGGGTATAAATCTATTAAAATTAGCATATTTTATAAAGATAAAAGCTTGTTGGCCAGAAGATCCGTCCTGGTGAGCTGAATTTGTAGACGGCTTTACTCAAAAGCTAGCTGCTGAGAAAAGCAGCTTCGCTGCGCGGCAAAGCTCCAAGCATTTCATAATCTGCTCCTACTTTCCAGTTTACAGCGGCTTGCCGAGCCTTGAGAAGGAAGAAAGGCATAATTACGAAACATACCCCTAAAGTTTGTGGTCTTTTTCAAAAAGGGACACGGCCACGTAATTTTCACATTACTAAACTTATTTTTAACCGTTAAACAATTCAAACCGCTCCTCTATACTGTCGAAAGCCAATTAGATCACGGAAAATTATTTTTCCGCACATTATTTTTCGTTTTTTACTTTGCACTCTTTCTTTAATTAATGAATTTAACAAATTAAATTAGGATCAAGGGCCAGAATTGAAAATCAAAAGACGTGTCAAAATTATTTTTCTTAGATGATATACATCTGAAACTACATCAAATAAACAAGATGATATACATCTTATAATTACGTTAAAGTGAGATTTATTAATTATGTTGTTATTTATATTACATGTGGTGTACCATATTTGTCTAATTTATATTGCAAGTATTGGAGTATCACTGGGTTGGATAAGGCAATATTTTGATACCGTCTTTCGCCCTCCCATTTTTCATAAATTAGTTCTCTAAAATACACCAAACACCATCTCTCAAAACCTCAAAGGATGTTGCTAATTTGTCCAGCATCCCCCTCTCTATTTCCAAACCCACTTCACAATTTCAATGCCAAACACAAAACAACCAGATTCCAATCCCCACTGAAAATCTCAGCCAAGGCAAAACAAACCAGCGACGACAGCACCACCAGCATTGCGGAGATAGCAGCCTTCGCTGGAGGCTTGGTTTCCACCCCAGTGATTGGCTGGTCCCTCTACACTCTCAAAACAACCGGGTGCGGCCTGCCACCCGGACCGGGTGGTTCCATCGGTGCACTCGAAGGAGTTAGCTACTTGGCCGTCCTGGGAATTGTGGGTTGGTCCTTGTACACCAAAACCAAAACCGGGTCCGGTCTGCCCAACGGACCGTTTGGACTGCTGGGTGCTGTTGAAGGTCTGTCTTACTTGTCATTGCTCTCCATTCTGGTGGTGTTTGGGTTGCAGTTTTTTCAGAATGGCTCCATTCCTGGTCCTCTTCCAAGTGATCAGTGCTTTGGATAATGTGGGATTATTGGCCACTACAATCCTATCTCGTGTTTGTGGACATGGTTGGTCCTCCAATTTGTCATGCTTTTCCATTACTAGGGTAATGTATAGGTTATCTGTCTAAAGAAATGCCATTACAATGTTTTTTTTTTTTTTACGACTTTTCATTGTTCTTTGATATCTTTTATGGAGGTGGATTGTCTGCCCTCCCATTTCCATACTCTTCACATCCCCTCTTGTTTGTATAGTCACGGTTAAGCCACGTCATCATTTTATATTGATTTTTTTATAAAAATAATAAAACAAAAAGTAATAGGAATATAAAATTTTGACGTGGCTTAACCGTGACCACACAAAACAGGAGGGGATGAGAAGAGTATAGAAATGGGAGGGCAGACAATCCACCTCCATCTTTTATAGCCATTACAATGTCCCTAACTGACGAGAAATGCTCGGAATACGGGACAATAAACCACAAGTCATTATACAATTAGAGGGATGATTTTTTGTTTTTTTTTTTTAAGTGTCCCTCAAATTGTATAATAATATGTAATGCACAGTCCTGTGTGCCGGGCACACAAAAAAAAAATCTCTCCTAACTCACAACGATATTCTACTTCTAGTGAGGAAAATTGCATTTAGCCAAACAATGAGCGATTATAATTTATAATTAGATATAGAATTCAACAACAATGTTGTACATCGTATAAGTTTAATTTAGGGAATTATTATTAGCACTCTAAAAATCTCATTCTATACTCTCACAGTGTATTTTTCTTTCTAATTATAGAAAGTTTGGAATGTCAAATGAGATTTTTTGATTGCTAATAACAATTCCTTTAATTTAAGACCTATTATTTATAGATTAAGAAGAAAATCACTAAACATATTGTAATATCCTCAACTTAAACAGTTAACCTTTTCTTGGTTTATTTCAACTAGTGTTATTTTTTTGGATTTGCACTATCTAATCAGCTTGCTGCTTATTGTAATAATCAGGTGTGCCCAAGACGAATTCTAGAGTGAAGATGGATGTGACAAGATGGTAGAAACTTATATGTAATTTGGTTTATCAAATAAATGCTATTACTTAATTACTTATCTTTTAAAGGTTTTTAATTCATGTTGTCAAGAGTAGTCTTATTTGATGTAGTTAAAAGATTGAGTTATTTGAGATGTAATAAAATTAAAAGAAGGAAGTGATGTTCGATGAAGAACAGTGATTGGAGAATTGAAAATTCCAAGGTTAGAAGATTATTTGCCGCTGCCATATATATCTCGAGAGTTGATGTTTTGGACTTTTCGAGTAGCTCGACAAGCAAAAAACAAAGATGAGTCAATTTTGAAAATCTTTGAATTTTTAGTCTCGAGACTTGTTTTCCAAAAATTAGGGGTCTATTGTCGGTATTTTAAAAACTTTAGACCTTTATGACATAAATCTTTATTACGTGTTTTCCATGTTTTAGGAAACCTTTGGGATTTTATTGTTTCTTATTTTATTTTTCTTTGGGTGCTAGGGTTTGCTAAGATTATATAAACAATTTTTAGGGTTGTATTGCAACAATTCATTTATATTATTATCAATTAAACTTAGTTTTCTCTATTTTTTGGTGGATTTCGAATTGTTGATGGGCTTTAGCTTATGTTCTAGGATTTGATGATGGTCGATCCTACCTATCACGTTTCTCACCTCGTCAGTTGGTATCGAGCAAGGCAAATCCTTGCTCGATGGTAATTGATTCTAAGGGAGCAAAACTCTAGGCGATGTTCATAAGGGAGTACTAAATATTGAAAGGGAGCATGCTATGAGATTCGCCCGTATCCAATGTCATGAATATGAATTTCAAGATATTGAAGATATTTTTTGGGGGAAGTTTGTATATGGAAGAATTTTGTGACTGATAGATGATATCTAGCGTTACTTTGAGATCATGAAAATTTCAAGAAAGAAATAGTAAAGATGATTTCATCTAGACTATCAAGAAGTGCGTCTTCGCGGTGAAATCATCTACAGAAAACTCGAGAAAAATAAGGCAAGTTAAATATCAGAACATGGCAAAAGATGAAAAGTGTTTCATCAAACGGTATTTTCCTTCACATTGCTTTATGTTTGGTGATGTTGATGATCGTGCAATTAAAAGTAATCAATTGGCTTTTGATTTTACTTCAAGATTGTCACATCAATCAGATTGGGAAAATTAAAAAGACCAATCTAAGAAAATTTCAAAGGCTCTTACAAAAATAATTGACAAGCCAATAGTTGGGCCAATTGAAGAAAAAGAAGTTGTTAATCCTACTGAAAATCCTTTCATAGTTGAAAACGACATTCTCAAAGAAGAAATTCCACAAGTTTCACAAATAGGATTCAAAAAGAAAATGAACCTCAAAAGACCAAAGTGAAAGCGTCTTAGATAATACAAATCTCGAGATCGAGTTCTTCTCAAGTGTAGGAGAATATGAGAAAGAAGAACAATATCTCTTATTATCTTCTTCTATGTCTCATCCTCCCTAAACCTTCACACATTTCCTCACTAATCCTAGCCGGAATAGAAATATTGTTATATTCCGAACCAAACAACCGCAATTGACTTGACATTGTAGTCAACCTAGAGTCCTACTTGTTAATCTTCATGAATCGAAGAGCATATACTCTGTAATCTCTGTATTGAAAGCAAGAACTAGAGAGAGAAAGTAGAGATAAGAAAGATGGGTTAAAGGATTTCTGAATATATTGATTTCTTAGCTTGTAAGTAATACAACAATATATCTAATATAAACAGTTACAAAGCTATTAATCTAACTACCTAAATACCTAAGATTGTGACAAGTGTCACAGTCATAGACCATTGAACACATACTATAACACTCCCCTCAAGCTCATGATTTGAGCAACCAAGCATGAGGTTGATACAATGTGTTCGAAATAAAGGACCACTTAAACCTTTGGTCAATATATCAGCAAACTGTTCTTTTGAGGAGACAAATTGCATTGACAACTTTTTTTTGGCTACCCTTTCTCGGACAAAATGCACATCTATCTCAATATGCTTAGTCTTCTGATGTTGTAATGGATTGAAAGATAGTGCAATGGCAGACAAGTTATCACAGAACAAAATAGGAGTTGTAAGCAAGGGAATGTGCAGAAATGCAATAAGTTGCTTAATCTAATCTAATTCAGCAGAAGTTGTAGATAGAGCTCTATATTCAGCTTCAATAGATGACCTAGACACAGCTTGTTGTTTCTTTAATGACCAGGAGATCAGATTGTTACCTAAAAACACAACTAACCTAGTAGTGGACATTCTGTCATTGGGATCCCCTACCCAATCAACATCACTAAAGGCCTTGAGTTGTAAATCTCCTCTAGTATAGGTGACACCAACATTTAAAGTTCATTTTAAGTACCTAAGAATCCATTTTACAGCAGTATAATGAGCCACCATAGGATTCTTCATAAATTAGCATGCCTGATGCATTGAAAACGCAATGTCAGGCCTAGCAAAAGTGAGGTACTATAAGGCTCCTACAATACTTCAAGATGTACCAGGATTTGCATAAGGATCTTCATCATCTTTAAGAAGTCTATTATAGGGAAGGTAGGGTGTATCACATGTTTTTGCTTCAAGCATTTCAGTTTTCACTAATAAATCCTGAATATACTTAGTCTAAGACATAAATAAGCCACTTGCAGTCTTGGTAATCTGAATTCCCAATAAAAAATGTAGTGGACCCAAATCTTTGATATCAAATTGAAGTAAAAGCATTGATAACATGTTGAATGAAACTTGTAGCATTCCTAGTGATGATTATATCATCCACATATAGTAGAAGAATCACAATCTCATTATCAACATATTTGACAAACAAAGAGGAATCTGAATATGTATTGACAAATCACAGCTCAGGCAAAAACTTAGTAAATCTATCATTCCAGGCTCTAGGAGCTTGCTTCAAGCTATAGAGTGATTTATGAAGCTTGCACACTAGATTGGGATGAATAAAATCTTGAAACCCAAGTGGTTGAGCCATGCATACTTCTTCTTCCAAAATACTATGCAAGAAGACATTTTTTACATCCAATTGCCTAAGATCCCAACCAAAATTAGCAGCAAGAGCAAGTACTAACCTCACAGTAGTAGGTTTAACCACAGGGCTAAATGTCTCACCATAGTCTAAACCAGGTTCTTGACTAAATCATTTAGCTACCAATTGAGCTTTGTGTCTTGCAATGGAACCATCAGAGTGTCTTTTGATTTTGAAAATCCACTTGCAACCAACAAGGTTCTTAGTGGATGGCAAAGAGACCAAACTCCAAGTACCCTGAGACTGAGAGCATCCGGTTCTTCTTGCATTGCTTTTAACCATATAGGATTCTTGAGAGCTGTTATATGTATTTGGTTCAATTGTTGACAAATCAACCCCCCCCCCCCCCCCCCCCCCCCGCGCGGGCGCAAATCTTGAATAGATGCTAGCAAAGCCTTCTTCTTAATAATTCCATTTTTTCTTCTGGTTTGCATTGGATGCAAATTGATAGGAGGAATTGACAGCACTACTTGAAGAGTATCAGGATGAAACTCATTGTTCTCATAATATAGTGCAGTACTTGGATCAGGTGCCACAGGGAGTTGAGGTGAAGATTCATTTGCACTAGTAATGGACTAAGAACTAATAGGTAAATATGTTGGTTCTGGATGAATAACTGGTGTATGAGATGGAGTTGGAGTAGATACAGGTAATGATGTAGTAGTAGGAATGGGTGATGGTGACACAATGACGTTATTTGTATTGACCACAGAAATAGGAAGATAAAATATATTGGGAACTGCTGAAGTGGGTTAGCAATGGTGGATTGTGTCAATAAGTCTACATATGAAAAATTGTTGTTCATCAAAGAGTAAAGCGAGTGATACCATGTTAATATTCATGAATCGAAGAACATATATTTTGTAATCTTTGTATTGAAAGCAAAAACGAGAGAGAGAGAGAGAGAGAGAGAGTAGAGAGAAGGAAACTGATTTCTAAATATATTGATTTCTTTGCTTGTAAGCAATACAACAATCTGTCTTATACAGACAGTTACAAAGCTATTACTTTAGCTACCTAAATTCCTGAGATTGAGACAAGTGTCACAATCATAGACCTTTGAATACGAACTCTACCACTACTTTCTCACACAGTAGAAAAAGAGGGGCCCAAAACCCCAAGCAAAATCCAAAACCAAGGCACCAGTTTCTTCAGAATCTTCGTCCCAATCGACTTGACGACTCCGATAGGTACGATCACTCTTCTCCTCTCTATTGGCACTCTGAGTTCTTCGATTTGATCGGTTAATTAGTGTTGCTAAACATGATTAACTCTCTGCAAATTTCTACATTAATGTCGTATGCTTTCAGATTTTTCAGATTTTTTCATGGAAATCACTTAGGGTTCTTAGTCTAGGGTTTCACTTTCTGGGTTTTCTGTGTCTTGATTGTGTTTGGACGATTTTGGTGTTTTCATTTCTATTTGGCTGCTCAGAAAATTTAGGGAAAGGGTTTTCTTTTTCATTTTTCAGCTTGTGTATGCTCTCAGTTGCTCTTGTTTGTAAGTGAGAGCAAAACGAAGAGCCGTTAAGATGGGAAAATTGCAGGGTTTTTATTTTCTTTTGGAAAATTGGAAGATTCTATATTCTGTGTGCAAGTTGATTTTGGAGAGTTGTTAAGATGGGGGGAATCTCGTCTTTGATATGCTCTGAGATCCCAAAATATGCGGTGGCTTTATGTAATTTTAATTCAGAGAATATGCAGAAACTGATAGGGATTGATGGTTGTTGGTAATTAGAGCGAATTGGTCGATTTCACCGGGTTTATGAAATTTATGTGGTACGCTATCCTTTCAGGCTTATACTCGTAAAATCGAATTTGCAATTGGTATTCTGAATGAAAACATTTGAAATACGAGAGTGGGGGAGAGAGAGAGAGAGAGATCTGATTTTTTGTCTTGGTTGTGTTTGCTTGTCTGTTCAAATGTCTCTTTTGCTTTAGCTTACGTTGGTGAACCTGTAATCTTAACATTTCTTTCTGAGACGTTTGAAGATTGATTGTAGTTGAAGGAGAGGAAGATGAGCGTGATGAATCAAGGAAGGAGAGCAAATAAGTTGGTAGGAAACAAAAACAGTATTTTATACATGGACCTCAAAGACATCGTTAGGAACCATGCCCTCCAGTTTCTACCTGCTAAATCACTTTTCAGGTTCACTGGAGTTTGTAGGGACTGGAAGCTCGATATCACAACTCCTTTCTTTGCCCACAAGCAGTCAAATAGCTTTCGTGATATCTCGGGCTTCTTTTTTCAATCCGGAACAGCCCCACCTTCATTCATATCTCTTGACCCCAAGGCGTATGGTGTTCCAGACCCATCTTTGAGCTTCCTGCCTGAGCCGGTTGAGATAAGGAGTTCTTCCAATGGATTACTTTGCTGCCAGGCTCATGATGGCTGTAAGGCTTACTACATTTGCAATCCTGTTACTAGGAAGTGGAAAAAACTTCCCAAGCCAAATGCTGATCACGGATCTAACCCTGCTATTGTTCTCATCTTTGAACCATCTTTGCTCAATTTTGTGGCCGAGTACAAGCTCATATGTGTTTTTCCATCTGTTGATTTTGACAATGGGTATGAGTTTGAGATTTATTCCTCCAGGGATGAGACTTGGAGAGTTTCTGGTGAGATTTACTTTGGCCATCAACATCTCGTGCCAAGAACTGGTGTTCATGTGAACGACATAGTTTATTGGGTATTGGATTATCAGATTCTTGTTTTTGACCTGACGATGGAGCGAGCACAACAACTTTCTGGCAATTTTTATGGAACTGGAGGAGTTGGGGCCCTGGGTCTGATGGATGGAAAGCTTTGTCTGACAACGCCTAGTCCTACAGGACTAACGGTGAAAGTGTTGGCTAACGCCTACACGAATACTATGGGGATGCACAGCAATGCCAGGGCATGGGAAACGAAACATCAGATCAGTCTTTCACCTCCACCGTTCAGGGCATCGGATTATAACCCTCGAATGACTAGTAATATACTGTTTGCCGGTGGAAAAGTGGTTTTGTACCGGAGTGGCGGAAATTTGCATACTTATGACCTGAAGACTAAAGAAACTCAATGTTTGGGTGATGAGCTTGATCAGAATGCGAGGATTGTTTCTCATGTGAATAGTCTTGTGGAGATCTAGCTGGCCTCGCTTGTGGCTTACTCTGCCATTGTGGAACCATGAAGAAAAAGAAGGCATTGGAAGCAAAGTTGAATAGATATATTCATGTGGTTGCCTTGTACTGTTTTTATGTTTAAATAACACTCTTATCTTTGGTGTATCTATCATATTAAAGGCTCTTTTAATAACTATTTCGTTTAGTTTTCAATTTTTGTGAGGTCAAAATATTGTTGTAGAATAATACTTGCTACTCAAAAGATAAGTAGGAGCTCTTACTTAGAACCATTCGTTTTTTATTCATAGGACTTCGTGTAACTATTCATGTTATAAATGATTGATCCGCATGGAGAAAATAAGCAGTACAGCCTATGCTTAAATATATGAGAAAATTGTAGCAATGATCATTCGATTTTAATGGAATTTGAACAATGGTTTCTCAATTCATGATAAATGATCTCTTAACTCATTATCAAAACGTGCAGCTATGGTCTTTTGCATCAACTCTATAAGAGCTTTCATCAAAATGAGCCATATGACACGCACTTGAGACTAAATCAAGGGGGGGGGGGAAAGAATTGTAGCAATAGTACCTAAACATTAACCTAATTAGAACAGTGGTTCCTAAATTTTAACCCCATTAGATAAAGGGAGTTTTAATGAAAAACCCGCGGTACTGTTCACTTTAACGAAAAACCACATTTTTATACTAAAAAGTCAAACATGATACTATTCATTTTACCTTTTATTTTGTCCTTATCATTAAAACTCAAAGTTTTCAAGCCCTTTTCATTAGTTTTCCTTTAGATAAATGGTCCCTCAACTTTAACCCACATGTAGCAATGGTAATTTCACCATAACTCATTTCGACAAAGTGGAAGAAAATGACTATAGCTGCATATTTGATGAGTTAAAAGATTAATGGTCACAAATTTTTATTTGAGAGACCAACATTCCAATTTAGTTAAAATTGAGAGGTCATTGCTATAATTTTCTGTAAATATATGGATGATATCAATAGTTTTGGTCACATGGCGACTAAGATTCATACTTGGTTAATCTCAATGTTGTATCAAAGATTAATTAGGATTAATGTCCTTGAATTCAATTTTTTTTCAAGTAAAAACAGGAGATCCATTTTCAGGGATTTGGGCCTACTCATTTTTTCACAAACAAATTGGGCCTCCGATTTTCGATAATGTGGTGTACAAATTGGGCCTCAAGCTGCCTAATAGCCTTAGTGATATCTCGGGCTTCTTTTTTCAATCCGGAACAGCCCCACCTTCATTCATATCTCTTGACCCCCAATGCGTATGGTGTTCCAGACCCATCTCTGATCTTCTTGCGCCGAGCCGATTGGGATTAGGATCTCCAATGGATTACTTTGCTGCCAGGGTCGGGATGGTCAATGGCAGAGCTAGAAATTTTTCATCAGGTGGACTCGTTTAAAGATTAAAACTTTATAAACAAAAAAACTTGATAATGTATTTTTCACAATATCAGCTAAAAAGGTCGTACCCAGTGCACAAGGCTCCCGCTTTACGCATGGTCTGGGAGAGGTGAATGTCGGCTAGCCTTATCCCCATTTATGGAGAGGCTGCTCACAATATCAGCTAGCTTAAGAAAATTTTTACAAGGTGAGTTAAGAATTTTTGTTATTCAAACAAATTCAAACTTGTACATGTACAAGAAGAGATGAGAAAAAGAGATGGTTTGTAAATTGTATTATATAATTAAACCAAGAGAATTCAAATCAATAACTAAATACATGGTGGGTTACAATAAAAAATCAGTAAAAATTACATGTAAAATTTTATTTTCTGCCGAAAGCTATCTGGCTATAAAGCTTACTACATTTGCAATCCTATTACAAGGAAGTGGACAAAACATTGCTACGCATTGCCATTGTGTTTGTGTGGGAGGATTTGGGACCCTAGGTATGATGGATGGAAAGCTTTGTTCAACACGTTCTAAACCTCCCACACTAATTGTACAACGTTGCGTAACGCCTTCACAAACACAATGGCAATGCGTAGCAATGTTAAGTCATGGGTAACGAAACATCAGATCAATGTATCAGCTCTGATGTCATCTGGAACCTGTGGTGGTCGAATGTTTCATAGTATAGTGTTTGCCAGTGGAATTGTGATCATGTTTCGGGGTGGCCGAAAAATGCACATTTACGACAATAGGACTAAAGAATTTAAGTGTGTTTGTGAGGGACTTGTTCAAAGTGGAAGGCTTGTTTCTGATGTGAACGCTCTTGTGGAACTCTAGCTGGTGTGAAACTATGAAGGACAAGGAGTTTTGAACTTTTAGGTGGTTTTGTTTTGAACTTATTAGTAAAGTGTTTTTCTTTTGGTCAATAAATAGTAAAATGCTTATTTCTAATTGGCTTTTTCTTAGCCAATATATATAAAGTAGATTGGAAACTTCTTGGATTTGAGTTGATAGAATATTAAATATTATGCTTTGGAAACTAAGAACAAATCACACCCATTTTAAATTTATCTAAACAAAAATCATGCTCTTTAACCCTACCGTTGCCATATTTGAACTATCATTACTCTCCACTCATTGTTGTTGGAGAAGCATAAAGTCCTTAATCATTAGCAAAATCCTTTCATTAATTTACTAATTGCTTATCATTCTCATCAAAGACAAATGACTGGTTTGAGAGTGATTATGACTCTCTCATAATCACTTTCAGACTCGAGAACACCAAGTTTTTCAAATGTAGTTTTTCAGATAATGTCACATAAAAGGACAAAATCATGACAATTGCAAGATGGAGGTTTTTTCTTTCTCCAATTGATCCCAGTGTTTTTTTATATAACTTGTGATTCTACAAGGGGAGGAGAGTGACGAAATATTTTTTGGTTTTTAGCTAAAAATTGGTCTATGAGATTTAAAATAAAAAGAAGCGGTCCATGAAATTATACACCGTCAATCATTTTTGTCCTTTAGTGAAAAATCTATATTAAATTGAAGAAACCACAGTTCAAGCGAAGGGAATGATTTGATGAAAACTCTCAATTTAACGGAGATTTTTTCACAGAATGACTAAAATGATCTATGGTGGATAATATCACGAATCATTCCTATCGATTTTAAATATCAAGGACGAAAGTTAATGAGTTTTGCCAGTTTCAATTTTTTTTTTTTTAAGTCTATTTCTTTTGAAATGTAAGTAGCCCTTTATTCACATAACATTCGAAATTTTTTACTGTTAAATTTTTAACTGCACATCTAACATTTTACCCATATGGTACCCCTAGTAAAATTTTCGTGAATAAAGTCCTAATGAGATTTAACTTCCTAAAGATTAGGCAGCAAAATTATTCGTGAAAAATGCAGTAATTATCTATTAAAAATTTACTGCGGATCAAATTACGCAGAAAAGATGAATTTTGTTTTAGTAAAAGATGATTTCATAGGATTTACAATTTTTCGAACTTAAAACTTAAGCAACCGATTGACCTCGCAAACGACTTTTAAACCAATCTTAGTGGTTCACGTGGCCGCGGAAAACCAATACGAGTCTCGTACGCTGCTTTTAACTGCTCTCACAGAGGTCCCTCACTCTGCGCAGACTCACTTTTCAGTTGGTCGGGCTCTGAGTCTTCTTTCTCTCCAAACCGACGCAGCGTTCCGATCATCGGTTTGCTTCTCAGGCGTACGACGGCACGCTGTTGGGTATTACTTCATCTTTTGTGTCTTTATTTTTCGAATGAGAAGCTTCTCTTTTTTTATTTGTTTAGTTATTTGTGTTTTTTTTTTGAGAAATCTTGAATCTTTCAGGACGTGCATGAGTTGGGGTTTCTGGGGTTTTTCCGATCGTTTCTGATCGTTGATCAGTCTCTGTTTAATGGGTTTTGATTGATCATAGTCGATTTATTCGTATCTGTTTGTTCTGGCCTCTGGGTTTCTTGTTTAAACAGTAAGCTCTCTGGTTTCGTTCTGTCTTTGACTCAGTTTTTCTGCGGTTATTTACCCTTTTCGATTTGTTTGGTTACTGAGAAACGCAAAGAAAAGTAAAGAAAACTGGATTGAACCCATTTTGTTCCAATTTTCAATTTAATTTAAAGAAAAACGATTTGTTATTTCCATCGGAAGAAAATACCATTTGTTACTGAGGAAAAAAGAAAGCCACTTGGGGGTTTTATTTATTTATTTATTTTTATGGTGTTTTGTTGTTTTTCTTTTTTTTTTTTGCAAGACCCATGTTTAAATTTTGTAAATTAAGATATTAGAATAGCTAACTGAAGCAATAGAACAATGACTTTGTGGGTTTTGTTATGATCTGATGTCGTTAAGTTTGGTTTGCTTTCTTTTGTGCTAAGCAACCATAATTTGAATGCTAGGGTTTAATCAAACTGCTGTGCGAACAGTTGTTCTTTTGTATGCAACCAAAATTCTTATTCCGAAAGACTGTATTTGGCATCGAAGTTGTTCTGAGGTTTAAGCTTGTGGTTTCCCTCTTGTTTGGAAGTTGTGATTTTTCGTAGGTCTCGATGTTTGGGAAATTCACTTATCTGCATTGAATGATTTTTCATTGTGCAGCTGTGAATTCTGAGGATCCTATCATGGATAACGATAAAGATGTTGGCAGCGACTCTGACTCTTATGTCATTGTGAGCATTGCCAATTCTGTGTGCAGTGATTCTGAAAGTGTCGCGGATAGTGATTTTGAAAATTATGAAATTGTGAGTCCTAAAAACAATGTGGCTACTGATTCTGGAGAAGATCTATTTGATGGAAGCACACAACAGTCGAAGAATGTGGAAAAGGACGGTTATGCGTGTTCTGACTTTGATTGTGGTGAGGGCACTGATTCTGAAGAAGTTCTATCTGATGAAAGCCAACAACATTTGAAGAAAGTGGATATTGATAGTGATCTGAGTACCGATTCTGAAAAAGAACTATCTGATGGATTCAGAAGAAAGTTGAAGATTATGGATGATCACCATTACATGGATACTGTTCTCACTGGGAAACAGCTGAAGATGAGACACTGTTCTTGTGAGGTATGTGACTGTCGACAGCCCTAATGTTTGGTTTTGCGTATTATTTATGGGATATGTTTTCATTTCTTTTTTATTAATCTTTTGCTGGTTTGATTAATTGATGTTGCATATGATATTACATTCAGATTATGTACATATTTAATTTTTGCTTTATGAAATCTTGGAATCCAAGCGGTTGAGAGGATCCCTGTGTACGTTAGATGATAATTTTATGTTCCCCTTTGTACTTGGTTTTGGCTATGAATTGGAGGCGTTGGCATTGTTGATGTGATTAAATATTCAATTTGTATCTTCTTCTTTTTCTTTTTCTCTGATATGCATCCTAATGATTGTCTTTACATGCAGTTTCACAAATATCCATGTAAAAGAATCGGTCCTAAACTTTCCCATGATGAAAGGCTTTATAAGAGAATGGACATAGGTGACGTTGCAATGGAGAATGTTCTTCCTTTCCTCCCTGCAAAAATGCTGTGCAGGTTGAGAACTGTTAGCAAACAGTGGGATAAGTGGATTTCTAATCCTTTCTTCATTCATAAGCAAACTTACTACTTCAGGAAAATCTCTGGTCTTTTTTGTCAAGCCCCTGGTGGCGACCCTTACTTCCTTCCACTTGATAATGATTCTTACGGCGTTCCTAGATCTTACCTCAGCTTCATGCCCGAACCAGTTATTGCAAAGACCACTTGCAATGGTCTGGTCTGCTGTCAGAGCAATGACGGAGAAGATACCTACTACATTTGCAACCCTGTGAACAGGCAATTTAGAAAGCTTCCCAAGCCTGATTTGTATCACGGATCTGAGTCTTATCCGGCACTAGCCTTTGAGCCTTCTGTGCTTGACTTTGAAGTGCATTTTCAACTTGTCTGTGCCTTCTCTGTACCCGGTCATTTGGGTGTCTATTTTGATATATACTCTTCAAGGACAAGCGGTTGGGAACTCTCCGAGACAGTATGCTATGAGCTGGAGGCTACAACGTTGGAAGGTAACACCCTCTTTCTAAAGGGTGTACTCTTTTGGGAAACTTTAACGGGTGTCATTCTGGCATTTGACTTGAAGACGATGCAATATAGTATTCTGTCACTCCCCTTCAGCACGGGACCACGTGGTGTTATTTCACAGAGGAATGGAGAGCTGTGTTACATTCTGCCTCGTGATGAATCCAGTATGTACTCCTTGGAGATCTACGGTAATATGGACATGAGCCTGAAGTGGAAGATTAATCTCTTTGACCAGAGTTTCTCCTCTTATATGGACACATTTCGGGTATTGGCTTGTGTGAATGATGATGTGATGATACTTCTTGTCGGACAGACGGTGATTGCATATCATGTGAAAGTCCCGGAGGTAAAAGTATTGAAAGGAAACGATTACGGGCTTGGTGCTGGAAATGAAAGATATCTTCCATATGTGAACAGCCTTGTGCAGATCTAGTTCTGTCTGCCTTCCATTTTATTAGCTTGTTATGTTTTGATCAAGTTGGTTTTAAGTTTGTTGTGTCCATGGGGCTTTTTTTCTAGACCTGGTGCCTTGATGCACAAGTGCTTTTGTCAGATGGTGCTTGTGCTCCATCAACTGATATTGTGTTTATAAATAATATGGTGCTTGATATTAGCTTTGGCAATTTAGGAATTCGCTTTCTTTTGGCTTCTCGAAAACGACAATGACTTTTTTGGTGGTGGTCTAAAATTGCTGATATTCACAAGTGCTTTTCTGTGCAATTGCTAAGCACTGACAATAACATTTTTGTATAAAATGTCACAATAGGTAAAAAAACAGTGACAGAAACTCCCTGGAAATTCATGGGTCTCCTTCATGTTGGAACCATCGCTTCTCAACTTTGGACTTGAGTGGATACTCTGTTAATCAAATGATGAGAGGGACAAGGAAAAAACCAACGTTAAACTAGCGTTTGGGTTGAAAGAAGCGTGAGCTCCAACCAAACACAAATATTTGGAATTACAGAAAATGCTAAGACGCTCACGAATGAGGATCCTCTCCTGATTCTCTTTGTGATGATTATAGAGATCCTCAAATCGTGTCCGTTTATCGTACATTATGGATCAAAAATCATTTTAAATACTTTTATTTAAAATTAAATATGAATAGTACCTGACAAAAACTGACCGCATAATATACGATGAACGGACGGGACTTGAGGATCCCTAGGATCCTCACAAAGAGGATCCTCATTAGACGCTCACCCTAGTGAAAAGTTTTTCTTAAAAAAAAGACAAAATTATTATTATTAAGGGGAGAAGTGAGAGTTCGTAACTATTACAATAATTAAAAAGAGTGGTAGTTTTGAACCTAAGATGCATAGGTGAAAACCTAACACCCTATCCACTAGATATTATACCCAACCTAGTGAAAAGTGGCACACCCAATCTCAAAAATGTTTTTTAGCCAAAATGATCCTTAAGATTGATATAACTCCTCATTTGATCCCTAAAATTTAAAATCGATAAAAGTGGTCATTTGTCCATCATCAATCACTTTAGTCATTCTGTAATATTTTGTCAAATAATATTGACCCATTGTTTATTAAACTGAGGGTATTTTTGTCATTTTAATCTTTATTTAACAAAATTTTCCAAAAAAATATCAAAATGATTGATGACGTACAAGGAACCAAAATGAGAAGTTACGTCATTTTGATAGACCATCTGAATCTACATAATGAGTGTTGAAATCATTTTGTTAGTCGAGTACAAGCTCGTTGATTTTAGTGATGCAAGAACAAAAGCACAACATTGTCCCCCCCCCCCCCCAACAAAAAAAGACCGGGTCTCTGCGACAAAAATATAATATAATTACGCAAAATCGAGGTTAGGAGAGGCCTCGAGGCTATTTGAAGACATTAGGCAAAATATAATATAATTAATAGGATAAAAGTCGAAGGTTTTTTTTTTGTATTGAAATGTAAAATTTTGATCAAAAGAGATAAGTTGAGTCACGAAAAAACAATGACATTGAGAATTGAGATCATAAGCACTCAACTTGTTTGTAAGTTTTGCTAAAACAAATATTACTATATTGAAGTAATAAATAATCATAGCTCAAAACTGCAACCATGAGAATTTTTTTTTTAAGACTAATTATTCTACTATTCCATATGGATACTGTGGTTTTACTATAAAATAAAAAAATACATGCAAAATAATGAACTAACTACGAAACGCTAATTGAAATAGGCTTTAGTTTGATAATAATACACAAATTTTCTTGTCAAATGAGAGAAACAAAAGCACATACACTTAAACTACAAGCTAATGAACATAAACAAAAGCATAAAAAGTAAAGAAATTTCATAATAAGCCCTGATTTGGTACTGAAGTAATTCTGAAAAAAGTTGGGAGCTTTTTTGTGTTTGGTAAACATTCAGCTTCAGTTTTTTTTCACAGTTTTTTGTGAAAAAAAAGCCAAAAAACAAGAAGTTGCAAAACCCAGCTTTGAAAAATCAGTTTTTTTTCACATCTGTTTTACATAAAAGTTTACCAAACACTATAATACTACTTTTTTTCTTTCCAAAAGCATTTTTACAAAAAAGTTTACCAAACAATCTGCTACTTTATTTCATAGTTGCTTATTCTCACATCACAGCAGAAACAGTTTTTTTTTTTTCAAAGTACAACAATACCAAATCAGCCCTAACTCCGAGCCTCTCCTCTACAGTTTGTGGTTGTGGTGGGATTATTTTTTAGTGATTTGGTAGATTTGAACGAACGAGGAGTCTGTACGGCTCCTTTTTAAGGATATCCGGAATCTATAAATCTTTTCCGTTTATCTTCTTGTGTAAGTATTCTTTTGTGTTGGTGGTCATTGGTCAAGTTGGAAAAAAGAATCTCAAACTTGTCGTTCACGTCATCAACTCAATACAAGGCACACACGTGTCAAAACACCATTGGAAGTACAACCTATAAGAATTAGCAAACCACGGACGGCCATTAACTGCTCTCAAGTTCAAGTTCAAGTTCAAGGCAGCGATCGATCTCCGGCGGTTTCTTGCGGCTACGACGGTGAGTTCTCGTAGTTTTCGTTTTTCTGGGTTTAATCGAAGCATTTCGAAGCTTCGCATGCGCATATTGTAATTGTATACGTTTATACGAAATGAAAAAAACTCAATTCATCGGCAGAGCTCTACTCTGTTTTATGGTTCTTTTTTCTTCACATTTTTTTGTCTAATAATCTTGAATTCTTAGGGTTGAATGAAATGGGTTCTTTACGCCCTTTACGATCGCTTCGAAGATTGTGTTTGAATTTCTCTTTTTTACGAGGGTTTATTTGTTTTGTGTTTTTTACGCTCTCTGTTTTCGCTTGGTTTCTGAGAAAGCCAAGGAAAATGCAAGAATACTGGGTCTGATGGTGTTCTGGATTTAAATTCTGTTTTTGAAAAAAATGACCAGTTTTAACCCAGAAACCCATTTATTCCCTCTAATTGGTTTTGGGTTTTTCAGAGACCGCTCTCTGTTTTCCTTCGTTTTCGTTTGTTTGGTTACTGAGAAAGCCCAAGAAAATGAAAGAATCCATTGTTTCCAATGTGATTATGTTCTGGGTTTAAATTTGAATTTCGAAAAAAGTGGCCGACTTTTACTGACAAACCCATTTTTTCCTCTAATGGGTTATGGATTTGAATTTGATTTTCGAAGAATTAACCAATTTTTACCATGAAACAAGAAAACCCAACTTTGGTTTGTTCTTTGGGGTTTCTTATATTTGGCGTCCTTGGGTTCCTTATCTTTGGTGTCCTTGTTAAGTTGGGTTTCTTCGTTTTTTGCAGAAATGGCGATTTCCGAGGGAAGTGAGGAGTTTACCATCAGTGATAAATGCAATTCTGATAATTCTGGGGAAGAAAACCTTTTCGATGACTGTGGACAAGAAGAATATATGCGTGATCTATCTCATGATCATTTGGTGAAAGTTGAGGTATGTCACTGGTTGATTAATTGCTTTTTATTTTTACTGCATTCATGTTTACTTAATAGATTACATTAATTTTGAGCCTATACATTTGCTTCAGTTTGCTAGCTCTTCTCAAGAATTACGCTGAACAGATTATCTACGCTTCATTTCGCTGTGCTCCAAATCGAATCCAGTTATAAAAATTGGTTCATGCAATATAGGATTACTGGATGTTTTAATTGTGTTTGGTATATTTTCGTTTCATTTTCCTGTGATGCTTGTGTTAGTTATGTAGTATTGATAGCAGAGTTATGTAGTATCTTAACCATTTCTTTGAGCAGGAGTCGACTTTTCCTTTCATGAACTTGTAGGGGTTGTCGGGGTTTTTATACTAATTTACTAAAATTCAAAGCAAAAAGGAATTCTCTTTGTCCCTATTTCGCTTTATACTTCCGATTTAAATTCAATCACCTATTTTGATTGGTTGAATGATGAACAAGCTTTGCCATTGTTTGTGTGACTAAAGTTTAATCCTTTCTAACGTTTATCTACTTATGCGCCTTTCTAATGTGTTATTTCTATTGCAGTTTCACGGATATCGCAACAAAAGGATTGTTCCTGTAATTGAAACTTGCGAATATCCGGGACACAAAAGGTTCAAGCATACCGTGGAGATCAAAGATGTTGTTGCAGACCATGCTCTTGAATTCCTCCCTGCAAAAACACTCTCCCGGTTCAGAGCTGTTAGCAAAGAGTGGGATAAGCGGATTACCAGCCCTTTCTTCATCCACAAGCAAGGTTACCGCTTCCGGGATATCTCTGGTCTCTTTTGTCAACTCCCTGGCGACAGGCCCTTCTTTGTATCTCTTAATCATGATGCTTATGGCGTTCCCAGTCCTTCCCTCAGCTTCTTGCCTGAACCGGTTACTGTCAGAACGAGCTGCAATGGTCTGCTTTGCTGCCAAAGCTGTGATGGAGAGAATACCTACTACATTTGCAATCCTGCTAACAAGGAGTGGAAAGCGCTTCCCCAGTCGAACTTCTATCATGGCCCTGAACCTGCTCTAGCTCTAGCCTTTGAGCCTTCTGTGCTTAATTTTGCAGAGCATTTCCAACTTGTTTGCGCCTTCTCTCTAACTGATCATGCCTTCTCTCTAACTGACCATCCGGTTATCTGTTTCGAGATCTACTCTTCGAGGTCATCCTCATGGAGACTTGCTGACACAGAATGCTGTGAGTTGGATGCTATGAAGTTGAATGGTGACGGGCTCTTTCTGAAGGGCGTAGCCTTTTGGGAAACTTCTGCTGGGGCTGTTTTGGCTTTTGATTTGAATGACGAGCATTATGGTATTCTGTCGCTTCCCATCAACAGCGGACCACATGGTGTATTGACAGAGATGAATGGTGAGCTGTGCTACCTTCTGCCTCACAAAGACAAGAATGAATACACCCTGGACATCTATGGTGACATGGACATGCATCTGAAGCATAGTATTGCTCTTGGTCTTGAGTTTTTCAACAATTTTAACAAGGAGTTGAGGGCGTTGGCTTGCGTGAACAATGACATGGTGATATTTGATTTTGGAAAGAGACTCTATGCTTATAATCTGAAGACAGGGAAGGCTGAAATTCTAAGAAGTGATGACGGGACTGATGTTGGATATGTAAGGTATCTTCCATATGTCAACAACCTCGTGCACGTTCACCCTTCGTAAATGAGCAGTATACTTGCTGTTTTTCTCCTTCCACTCTCAGACTGGATTTTCGATTTAGGATTTGATGATTGTTTGCAAGTTCAATTTAGGAGTTGTTAGTTGAAACTTGTTCAAACTCATAATAATGTTTAGTTTCTTGAACCACAAGTCATAGTGATCAGTTTCTTGGACCACAAGTCATAATGTTTGTTCTTGGGTTTTGACTGTCTGTATGATATGCGAATCATGGAAACATCATTTGACAATTGTGTATTATTGAACAGCAAAAATATACAAAAAAAAAAAAAAAAAGAGTCCATACAATTTGGGTCAAACTACAAGGTAAAACAGAAGTGTAATCCAGCTCAAAAGATGAGGACGGGCTTTACATACAAATCAACATCCATAAATAAATAAATAAATATGCATTTCTCCCTACAAAAGGGGAAAAATAAGTGCTCCCCCATTTTCTGCAACCAAAAGAAACGTGGAATCAGAAATGGAGGTTAACAGAAAGTGGCAAGAGGTCATGGCCTCTATCTCTCCCCACGTAACAAACTCTAGAGCCTTCCTAGGATGCCTATAAATAGGCATCAGTTGCAGCAAGAAAACAGAGAAAAAAGAAGAAGGGGAAACTCTGCAGAAAATAGAGAAACTTTTGAGAGAACACCAAAAACAACGAAGTGCTGCCAGAAAAGAGAAGGAATTCAATCATTCGTGCTTTCCATGAATTTCTTCGGGGTGGCCTAAACCACCCCGTGAAGTTCCAATCAAAGTCTAATGAAAGTCATTCTTTGCGGTCCAATGAGAAAACAGATGCATTTGTGGACAAATAAACAAGAGAAAAGAAGCAAAATGCAACTTTTGCTCCCCTTGACCGACTCATATTTGGTCTCTATGAAGAAAAGACAGCAAGGAAACAACATATACAAAGATGCAACACAAGAAAGAGAGAAGAAATTATCATGTTCGGTGTTGTTGCTACCCACGGGTACAAAACATGGAAGATGCCTTTGGCTAAAATGATACGAAAAACCATTTGGGATAAGAGTCCAAGCAAATGAGGAATGCAACATCCAAGGGGGGACATCTCAAAGTCATTCACATGAAGAAGAGGAAGAAGAAAAGTTTGTTTTTTTAAAAAAGCCATGCACATGGCCATCATATTGGATAAAAGAGACAAGGGAACAAAGACAAATGCACATGTAGACAAATGACCATATAAGTACATGTATGTGTTGAAAAATAAACAAAGGAAAAGAAATCAGAAATTTTGATGATGACAAAAGAAAAGTCTCCAACACAACTTTGATAAAGACAAGGAAGGAAGAAGACGTGAAGATGGAACAAAGATTTTCATTGTGTCGAATATGTTCACCTACTTCTCTGCCACATGAAGATAAAAAAAGGGTTCAAAGTTTTAAGCTTCTCTACCGTCCCACGCTTCTCTCTTTCACGTGAAGATTAAAATAAAAAAATGTTTCAAGCCTTTGCATTAAACACTTGCTGTTCCAGGTTTAGACCATCTTCAATGGTGGCTTATAACCTAAATTTTCCCCTTTCCCCCCCCCCAAAATCCACTCCAACCCAAAACCTAAACCAAACCTAAAACCAAAAAATTAAAATGAAGGCAAATATAGGTCACAAATTTAGCCCACAAAAATTGCTGGGACCCACGGATGAGAGTGAAAAGTGGGCATTGTCCTGTAGCCAACGGCTACTTTTCTTCATCGGGTGGTGGTGGTAATTGGACCGTTGGTTAATCCAATGGTCCACATTCAATTTTTTATTATTTATATTTATATATTTATTGAATCCAACGGCTTAAATCGAATATAATCAAATCTAACGGTAAAAAAAAGATCTAACGGTCCAAATTTAAATCCAATGGCTAGAATAATCTTAAAATTTATTGGAATTTAAATATTTTTTTCCAACGGCTAGAATAATTTTATTTTTTTAAGTTTATGTGGTTTATCATGATTTTCATGTATTGATTTAGTGATTTTTCAAAATTTATCAGAATTTAAATATTTTTACTTTAAAATGTTCATAAAATTAATTTAGGATAGTTTACATAATTTTTTTTTTTAAAAAATAGCCTTAATTCATTTTTTGATAATCTGAGGCTAAAATTTTAGGCCAAAATGGTTGGAGTAGAAAAGCTGTTTCTGAGCTAAAACTTAAATTTTGTGGGCTAAATATTTTTAGGTTTTAGGTCAGGATTGGAGATGGTCTTATAAAGAAGGAAACGTTTGCTGCCAAATTATTCGGGAAACTCATTCACATGGCAAACACCCCAAAGAACTAGAAGACAAATCAAGACTACAAAAGATTTGGGGAAAAGCATCACTTTATACAAGTGTTAACAAAAAAATAATGACAAAGACAAAACATAAATGGGAACACAAAAGAGGTGTCCAAATGTCTACTGTCAAGACCAGTCAAATAATTTCCCCTGAGAAAACAGAAATGCCAGAGAGTAATTACACTCTAATACATCAAAACTCATTCAAAATGCAGCAGATATGAGGGATGCATTACTACGAATTTAAGAGTGCAAATTCTCACCTTGGGAGCCATGAATCAACACTTGTCTTCAACGAACTCGTACTGCAAAAAACAAGTTCGTCCAACAACCAAATAGAAGAGAAGCCTTTACCTATGACGCCTGCATGCACGGAAGATTCAAGAAATTTATCAAAGTGTAGAGCGTCGTTTCACTCCAAATACATAAACAAATTCAGAACATAAAGAAAATGAAAATGGGTAACCTGCTTCGCTCCCACTGCCCTCTTCGTTTTGAGTTCTCGATTCACAAAAAGAAACACAAGTGAAGTGGCAAAAGCAAAAGAGCAATACAGCAGAGGAAAAGTGAAAGCCTTCGTGGACCTGAGAAATCAAAGAGGGGAAAAATGAAAGCCTTCATGGACTCGAGGGAAACGATGTTAAATCAAAGAAGTTTGAAAATAAGATTGAACTTCAACAAACCTTATCCATCCTCACTGAGAAATCCACGGTTACCCAATCCAAATAGAAATTTGAAATATGACGAGTACCCAAGGATATCAGTTGCTTCTGGAGGAAAATTACCCTGTATGAGAGCCAAGAAAAATGGGGACTCTTAAAAAAAACCCATTTCGCCAGAGAGGGGGAATAAAGCCGCATAAAAGTTTTTGTTGGATTTGTAGGTATCAAAACCGCATAAAAGAAAAGGAGAGGTGGATAAAGCTTCCTGAAAATCACGAACCCACGTGGGAAGTTGTGAAAACTTAAAAGCATGAAAAAAGTAAAGCTTGTTTTGTGAAGGTTTGAAAATTCAAAGTATGTTCAAAAGAAAAGTATGCATCTCACGTGGAGAGCAAAAGAAAGTCCCTGCACCCATCAAAATTATGGGCTTTATTCAGAATTTAAATAAGAAGACAAACTGACAAAGGTCCCAGAAAAGTAAGGAAAAAAGGGGGCCGGCCTTTCATTCTTTCAAAGTTTCAAAAAGTCCTATTTCAAATAGGATGGAATTGCTACGAAACCTTGAGGAAAAGTCAAGCAAAGATGAAGTCCCAATTTACTAGGGATTAAAATATGAAAGAAGCTTTTCAGCAAGCTAATGGAAGCTAAGCCCGTGAGTCTATCATTTTGTTTTCACCAAAGTGGACTTTGTAGATTCAAGCACCCATTAAGTTAGATCAAAGTCAACGAAACTTGTAGTATAAGCACAGAGATAATGACAACACATCATTCCAAACACCGTGGACGCAAACCATCTCAAAGCAAAAAAGCTCGATAAATACATGGATCAAGCTCCCATAAAATTCTTGAAGAAGTCAAATGGCATGAAGCCGTATCAAATCTCAAAATGGTACAAAGCCGCGTCAAAACTCGAAGGCATAAAGTCGCTTCAAATAGCTCAAAGTCATTCAAAATTATGAATTACGCCGGTTTGATTTCGTTAAGAATACATAGGCATTTTGATATCAAGTTTTAGACGCAACCGTGAAACCGAAACGAATCCCTGGTTCATATAAACTAAATTCACTCCTGCCATCAAATACCAAAATGGCACGAAGCCGAAGAAAAGTTTCAAATGGCACAAAGCCGAAGAAAAGTCTCAAATGGCATGAAGCCATATCAAATTTTCTATGCTCCTCGCCTGCATGAGCTGAAACTGCATAAGGCATCAAAACCCAAACACCATGAACTACGAGTGACTTGATCCCTTAAGAGGGTACGTAGGCAATCTAGGGTTCGGCCTAGGTGCAGTCACAAAATCAAACTAACACCAAAATCCTCAAGTTACATTTTATTCGAATTGGAATCAAAGGGTATTTCTTTCCCAAAAGAAATGTTGTAATTAATAGGCGCGTAACCTAGAATGGGTCGAACTCGAATTAATAAAACCCTCTTCGGAAAAATGAACGAGGGTGAAATTGTGTCGAGTGAATAATTTGTTTACATATTATGTACAATTTTTGCTCCACATGTATTGTGGCTTCACCTTTCACCTTAATGAATGCTGAATATTTCTTTAGTCAGAGGTCCTTTGAATGCTGAATGTTTTCATTTCTTAATCAGCAAATTGATACAATTTGCTCTTTAATTCTCAAAGTACAACCACAGCCAAGATCATATCAGAAAACAAATCAGTTCTGGAAAATTGTTAAAATTTAGTCAATGTACATTAGAACGAATCACATCTTCTAATTCTGTATCCGTCGAGCTTTTTTCATCGTCATCTTGCTTATACATACTTTTCTTTCCAATATCCAGTGATATTATTACCATCTATTGTTCTGATGAGAAGGAAGGGAAAATACAATAATGACAGAAAAATGCTCGACTGATACACAATTAACCGAGTTGTGTCCTAACTAGAAAATAACGGAGAAGTGTAAGAATTGAACTTCTACCGTGGTGTAAGAGGGGATAATAAGGTGCTGAGCGGGTGCAAAATAACGGATGTCTGGCCTATACGGACACAATACCTACAAGTTACTATTCTTGGTACCATTTTATGCTGTGTTTACTTGTTACTGAGTAGGTTATTCAGTTGGTTGATGTGAGTTGTAACAAGTGTGAAGAGATGCGCGTGAAAGGTGGAGGAAATGTCTAAATTTGAAGGCTATATTTGTTGGCTGTGAGGGAAGAATGTAAAGCAAATACAAATGTGGGGGATTGCAGCGAGGTGCCAAAGTGGGAGAGAAGAACTGGTAAAAGAAATAACAAACAAAATGCTAAGTTAAGGGCTGGCCTACACAGATAGATAGGTTTAGAGAGAGAGCTAAGGGGTTGGTCCCTCCTTTGTAGGAGGCCATAATGCCATGGCAATCATACCTCCTTTCTCTTTCCTTTGAGAACCCTCCTACCTTCTTTCTTTGATCACCAGGTACCACCTTAATTATTTGTTTTCCACCCCTTAATTTCCAGACGATCTTACGATTTTTTCTCCAAAAATATCCGATTTTAAATTTCAGAAAATTCTTTTTTAATGTCATACGTACATGTCAGAACATGGGATCTAAATCCTGGAGGGAGATCGATACTAATGTTGTTATCTTTACTTGGTAGCACATGTACATGTACATTCGTTTAAGTTACACATTTGCATTTTCTCTCTTATATGCGTCTGCATGATTGCATGCGTCGTGAGATACGTTGATCTTCCAAAACCTAATGTTGTTTCTTTCAAATATTGTTGAATTTGATCATGGTCTAGGGGACTTCAATCATTGCGACGAGCAGTTCTGGGAGAGGTGAAGTTTCCCGCCACCACAACATACAACTCTTTGGGAAATTAGTCCTTGGCCGGAGGTTGAGCAAGAGACGAATAATGTCTTCTGACAGTGAGCCGTCCCCGGACTCTTCATCTTCTTCACCACCTACGCCGGACTCGTCCAAGTCATCTCCATCTGGTCCATCTCCAAAGGAATCCCCAGAGGACTCATCTTCGGCGCCACCACCATCCTCGACGCCGGCATCATCACCACCACCGTCCTCGCCGCCTCCATCATCATCTCCGCCTCCAAAGGACTCGTCTTCATCATCATCGCCGCCTCCCAAGGACTCGTCTTCATCATCATCGCCACCTCCTAAGGACTCGTCTTCATCATCATCGCCACATCCACCCAAGCAGGGGTCCCAGTCTCCACCTGCACCAAAAGAGGCGACCCCATCTCCACCTCATGCTAAGGAATCACCGGGAAAGGCAACGCCGGCACAACAGACACCAGCGGCAGATGCTGAAGATGAGACTTTGAGTGCGCCTCCTCCTCCAGGGCGTTCTCGGACTTCTCCCTCTGGTGCACTCACGCCACCACGTGCTAGTAGTTCCTCATCAAAAAGTAGTTCTGATGATGACGACACATCATCATCTTCAAATAAAGGCAGGGCGGCGGGAGTTGCAATTGGGGCAGCTGTAATTATAATTGTCCTGCTCGTCGTTTGTGTGGTTTGCATCAGGAAGAGGAGGAGAAAGCGCCGCGATATGCAGTACTATGGAGATGCTCCTAAAGGTGTCAAACCCTAACTCGTTCATCACCCATGCATTAATCCATGTATAACATTCATTGTTTTTTTCTCCTTTTTTGCCCTAGCAACATTCATTATTTCGCTAATGCTTGAAGTACCATATTTTCATACCACATTAGCTGACCACATGGTATGACGTACACATAAACTGGCAGATCATATAAGCGCGATCTATCATTGTGATTTTTAGGAATGTTTTGGAATTCTTTGATGTGTTTTAGGAATGTTTGTTTTGATGTCTTGCTAATCAAAGAGCTTAAGACACATACGGAAAACGTTGAAATGGTGAACTAAAAGAAAATAATATAATTATCGTAGAACATACAATAGACTTATTGACTTGTTCATACAATAAAGGAAAACAACTTTATGTGTGCGCAGCTGGTGGTGGCTATTACAACACACAACAACAAAGTTGGCACGATATGAATAATCCACAAGGAGACCATGTGATGAGGCTAAACAACCAACCACCTGGTGGTGGTGGTGGTGCTTGGTCTTCAACACCTCCTCAAATGCCGATGAGCGGTGAAGTGAGCACCAATTACTCAGCACCCCCATTGCCACCTCCCTCACCATCAATGGCACTTGGTTTCAACAAGAGCACCTTCACATATGATGAGCTAGCAGCCGCTACTAATGGGTTTGATCAGGCCAATTTGTTGGGTCAGGGCGGGTTCGGGTATGTGCACAAAGGTGTTTTGCCCAATGGAACAATAATTGCAGTGAAAAGTCTCAAGTCGGGCAGTGGGCAAGGAGAAAGAGAATTCGCAGCAGAGGTGGAGATCATTAGTCGCGTTCATCATCGACATCTTGTGTCACTGGTTGGATTGTATTGTTGGTGAGCAGAGAATGCTGGTCTATGAATTTGTTCCCAACAAAACCATGGAATATCACTTGCATGGTGAGTATGAATGCACTTAGCATATTCCCTGTCACACAATCTAGTACATTGTCGATATTTTGTTGATAACACTAAATGACAACAAATCATCAACAACAACAAAAAAAAGATCAAATTCATCAATTTACTTTAATCTATTATGAGTGCTACCATCCAACACATTTTTGTTGATCATCTCTCGTTTTATAAAAATGAAAAGAGAGGCAGTCAACAAGATAATCAACACGTTTGGTTAAATGGCTGTGTATTTGTTCATCTTTTTGAGCTATTTTTGAAACTTTGTGTTGCAGGAAAGGGTCTACCACCTATGGATTGGCCAACTAGACTTCGGATTGCAGTTGGGTCTGCCAAAGGGCTTGCATACCTTCATGAAGATTGTAAGAAAGTCGCAGCCCTTATATCGTTTATCCCATTTATTTAACTATTGTATATGTCTGACATATATATATAGTCTCATCATTACTAATTAATTGGAACTTGAGTTGCATCCAGGCCACCCGAAAATCATCCATCGTGATATCAAATCTGCTAACATTCTCATTGATAACAACTTCGAAGCCATGGTATAGTCCCCAAGTTGTTTATAATTTCATGCCAAAGTCATTCAACATCCCGAGATCATCCTTTAATGTATTCATTTTTCTGTTCTTTCAGGTTGCAGATTTTGGGTTGGCTAAGCTGTCTTCTGACAATAACACCCACGTATCGACACGAGTCATGGGAACTTTCGGGTATGTCACATAGCTTCTCTCGTAGATAGCCTTTACCCCTACATTCGAGACCTGAGTTCGAATAGTACAATAGGTTATGT